TACTGTGCTCATGGGGATAGTGAGAAAATTAGCAAGATAAGAACTCTAAACGCTCCTGTAATCAGAAAGCGTTATACAGTTTGCTTGTTTCATAGAACAAGCCTACAAGGAAGCAGTCTTGTAACACTTTTCTGCAATGAAGAGACAAATGTGCATATCGTCCCATGGTGGCAGGCACTGAATATAGTGTGAAAAAAGCAGTCAACGTTGCTACTGGAGCTTTCACAGGATTGCAAACTGCATCTCTTAAAACATGGGTCGAAATTCAGGGTTTCATCAACAACACATTCTGGGCGGCAGCTGGGGGACAGGCTCATTCTGAGAGAGTGCCGCCTCTCAACAAACCCTGCTGTCGAGTGCTTTCCGCAAAAGCCTTCGACTTCAGGCTGAGCCCCACAATCACACCGGGACCTGCCCTTGATGCGTCTGTGATTGCTGACTTCACCACATCACTGCAACCACTCTGTTGAGTCAATAACCTTAACCACACACAAAAAACATTTTGTGTGAATCAGACGTTAGCGATGGCTTCTCAGACAATGGTATTAGTCAGCGACTTCATGTTGTGTGCATGGCAAATATGAATTACAGGGATGTGTCTGGTCCCAGGGCTTGGCCTCATGCTTTAAAAAGACAGTCAAGCAGCTTTGATTTCAAGAGCTGGTGTCATGCAGGGGATAACATGTTGGATTTCAATGGGAGAGATGAGGGAACAAATCCCTGCTCAACTACCAGACAACTGACCGTCTTTCACCTCAGCCTATATTTCAGATTATTTAACTCTAGCCACCCTGAGGTCCTTAAGTAAAAAATATTTCAAAAGATCTAGCGTGGAACAATGCTCCCTCTAAACTGTGGAGTCTTGTGAGCAAAAACTCTACTTTGTGAGCTACTGGCATTAAAGTTGTGAGCGAGCAATTTGGCTACTGCATAAATTTGCTCTGGAACCATTCTTCCTGAGCTAAGACAAAAATGTGTGAGCTGGGTGTTAAAAAACTGTGAGCTAGCTCACACTAACTCAGCTTAGAGAGAACACACTGGTGTGGAATAGTGGTTAGGGTATGAGAGGCCTTGTGTTCAAATTCACTGCCACTAAATTTACTACATGACCTTGCATTAGTTACTCTCTCATAGCTTCACCTACCTCATGGGGTTGTTCTGAGGATAAAAATGGGTAAGCAAAAACCATGTTCCTTGGAAGGAGGGTGGGATAAAAAAATATTTTAGGTAGACATATTTACTTTTTAGTTCTGCATTTCTATGTTACCATTCCATCTTTACAGTACGAAGAATCGTTGTTCCCTCAGATAGCTTTAATAAAAACATTTGTTGGAGAAAAGGGAGCGGTGGCGCAGGCGGTTAAACGCCTGCTAAAGAAACAACTAGAAACAGCCACTATGGCTGTTCGAGAATCCACCGCGGCCAGGGTGAGCGCCTGGCCCGAGTCCCAGCTCCCGCCCACCCAGCGGCCCGAAAGCAATTAAATCAAGCGAGTAGGCAAATGGGTACCCACCCTAAGAAGGGTGGGGGGCACCCGCCTCCGTAGCGAGGTGTGTGGTGGTCGCAGTAGCGAGCGGCGAGAACATCAATGGCGGCGGCGGCGGAGCCTGGGACAGCGTGGTGCGGAGAAACATTGGAAGAGCGATCCCTGGCGGCAGAAGACTGCGGTGAAGACCGGTGACGGCGCACGATGACGTGCATTGCGAGCGCGGCGGAGCTGGTCAGGACAGAGCTGAGGCTGGAGCAGGAACGGAGGCGTGCGCCGAGAAGGCGGTCCCACCAAGGAAAGCAGCCGGACCAGCGGAAAAAAGATGCCAGAAAAACCGCCGAGAAGGAAGAAGCCGAGCCAGAGAGAGGACGCAGCGGACCTACCACAGGGTGCTGGTAGGAAATCCCCACCCTTACAGTATGTGGCCTTAGATAGGGTAATAACAGTTCATAGAACACCCCTGTAAACCGCCCAGAGACCCCTTTGGGTTAGGGCGGCATAATAAGTTGAATGAATGAATAAATAAATAAATAAATAACATCTTTTCCTCCTTATCCACCACACCAAGCTCCCGGGTGAGAAAGAGTTATGGCTGTACCCACAGTTGCTTTTATGGGGCCAGAGGAGTCGTGGGAGCATAGACAGTGATATAGCTCTAGGCTTTGATGTTGAATCTTCGGGTGCATTCAGATGGGCAGCTCATACTGCAATTGGCCTGGCTCTAATTTGATCCCGAACTTTTTTATCCAGCGTTGCACGACCAGACAGCTCCCCTTACTGCACACATACTCCGTGGTGGATTGTCTAGATGGCATCCACCTGAAGGAGCCACGTGGTCGGTTTTGGGGTTTTTTAAATATCTGTTTGCACATGTGCATCCGTGCCTCAACAAGTACTTGTTTTTCCACACATGCGCGGAGTTGAATGGTTAAAGCACCACCAGTGGTACCCCTCTCTAGGTACCTTTTTAATTAATGTAGTTCACAAAATTCATGGGCCATTTAGAAACATGAAATTGAGTGGAGCTCTGCGGCTGTCGCACGTTTACACGTTTATGTGCATATCACTAAGAATTTTTTTAAATGGCACCCACTTGGGATGGTCTGATGTCAGACCATCCCGATGGGAGGATCAGATGGGGGAAAGTCCGCAATTGGCCTGTCGGGAAGCGAAAACTCCAGATTTTAACTAGTATCTTTTAAGTATGGCTCCAAAGCACAGCAAAACGGGATGTTCACAGAACAGGCACATTTCCAGGATGTTGCTGTCTGGTCATGACCTTTAAATCTGCCAGGCACGAGTGTCTGGCGCGGATCTAAAAACCCATCTGATCAGGACCTCAGACACCCTTAGAGAGTAAGCAGGGTGGAATGGAGGACTAGAGCTCGAGGGGAAAATCCGTCAATCACACATGCAGGTGGGAAGAGCAAGCCCTTATATGCACACGAGCCAGTGCTAGCAAAAAGGCACAGCAGGTTGACGGTTATACAGCAAAGGATAAGCCTGGTCTGGAAGCCCTTCTAGCCATACCCGGCTGAAAACAGAAGTGGGAAGCTGTGGTGGTCCATCAGTATTGTCTACTCAGACTGGCAGTGGCTCTCCAGGGTCTCAAGCAGAGGTTTTTCACATCAGCGGCTAGTAGGCTTGCCAGTCCCCAGGTCGGGGCAGGGGTTCCCCCTGTTTTGGGGGTATCTGCCTGCCATTAGGCAGCTGGCCATCGGAGGAAACCTCAAACAGCCACATCCCCACATGACTTCCCCAATGTGATGATGTCACCTGGAAGTGACTTCATCACACCAGGGACATCACGCAGGGACGCTCTGGTGTGAAGGGGAAACTCTATGGTTTTAAGCCAGATTTACCATAGAGTTTTGTCCTCAAACTAGAGCCCCCCCTAGCGTGATGACATCACTTCTGGATGACATCATCATGTTAGGGATGTCCCAGAATGCTCCCCAAATCCCCTCACCGGAGCGACGAGGGGACCTGGCAACCCTACCAACTACTTGATCCTTTTAACCAGAGATGCCAGGGATTGAGCTTTGCTGTTCTCTCAGATGAGGACCTGAGCAAATTCTGGCATGAGCAAAGATAAGTTTCCTATGATATTTCCCCAATACGTTTGTGCTAGTTAACAGGAGGAGATGCAAAGCTATTAGTAGATAACACAATAATTAATGTACTTCAGTTGTATAATCAGCAATTTGCTTAGTATGCAAATTAGGTCACCCAAATTTGGGGGGGTGTCTTGAATACCCTAGGAAAGGAGATCACGTCAATATCCTAGATGCTGTGTATGTGGCATCTGTGCAGGACCTTTAAGGCTGCAAAACACAGCAAATGTAGCTACCCTAGCACTATGGAATACTTTCCAGCTTGGGTAAAGAGAGAGGTCTGGAGCAATCTTTCCTGAGCCAGAACGAGTACTGTAGACAGAAGAGATTCTGGAAAGAATAAATTATATGCAGGCCATCAAGGTGAAGACTACTCAGACATTTGCTCAAGCAGTAAAAAATAAATAAATAATACCAGAGTACTATGCCACATGTCACAAAAGTACCTGAGCTGTTTTCAAAATAAAAACAAGTCAGGCACTTTTTTATAATGCAAACTATTACCTTTCATTAGTGCCCTGGGGTGAACAACCCGCAACCAATAAATATTAATGTTTTATGGCAATAAACCAAATGCTACTTCAGAAAAAAAACATACCATGGTGTCATTATTTGGCCTAAGCTGCACTGCAATTTTGATTAATGATTCCTCAACTCACTTGTGATCTCGATCGCTTCTCCCAAAGCTATTGTTTATGTGCATATATATGTATCTGCGCATGTGGAGTGCATAACAAATCCCCAAGAGCCCCTCTGTGCTGAGGACCCCTGAGAAGCAGAAGGTTTCCCAAGCTTGCTTGTTTTGTTCACGCCTGATTTCCATGAGGCAGGCTGCCTGTCTCCCTAGGACAAACCATGCAGTCTGGGTGCAGCTCTGTTTGTTTACAATAAACAACTTGCCAACACTGCACTGAATTGAATCAACCAGGTAGGGTTTGCTCGGGAAGTCACAAGGGCTTTCGTTTTTGTTTTGGCGCAAACAAAATGGACGCCTGAAGATGAGATATGTGGCCACATCATAGAGACAAGGAAAAATTTAAAAACACCCAAGCAGGCATAAAGCAAATTTAAGATTTGCAGTACTTTTACATGCCAGTATTTAATAAAAACAGCCCCTTTCTAAAGCTTACAATGATGACAGAATTACTGGAAGGGGTAAAGTAACATATTTTTTTTCCTTTCAGGGAAGGGGAGGAGACACACACACACACCCTTCCATATTGCAAACTTATATCCATGTGAGTGGGTGTTTTTTTTTTTAGAAAAGCATTTTCACAGAGAGTGTAACAATACATTTCTACTCACCAAATCATTCCTCCCCAAATTTCCCATGTAAAAAAAGAACAACAAACAACCCCCCCCCCCAAACAAGTCTCAACACTTTCACCCTGCTCTACCTTTGGAGGCTTCTGTCCCAAGGGGATTTTCAAAGATGCTTGTTGTCACTTGGCTCCAAGCATCCTTCACGGCAGACTTGGAAACCACTCTGTTGTTCAAGCTCTGCTGAGGCCGGAAGTTATTCCTCAAATATTCCACAGATTTGACATGGTCTTGCTGTTCCGTGGTAAATATGGAATAGAATGCCTCCAGCTGAACACAGCAATTAGGGTGAGGGGAAGAAAGGGGGAGGAAAGGACATTAATTAGAAAAACAATGTGGCAAAATCTGGGCAGCTGATAAGAATGCAAAATGGCAGGAAGTACTGATGCCAAGATAGATAAATCAAACAGGAAACCAGGCTGCCCACAGAAATCACTGCCAAATGCCTTATCTAGCCCCGTTTCTGTCTTGCCAAGCAGCAGAGAAAACACTTCAGAAAAACCCTCTACAAAGTTAATGTCTGTTGGAGGTAAGAAAAGACCCTTCCCCAGACTTGTATTTACTGTATGTACTTACAGATCTATATAAACCCTCTCTTTGTTTTATGCTGTGTTGTGTTTCTTTACTATTCTGCTGCAGGAGAGGGGGGCACACATTCATTTCATATGTCACATAAATCACAGTTCACCATACAGCCCATTCTATCTTTCTATTATTTGTATTTACAGCAGTATCTCAAAGGCCCAGCAGTTCCAAGAGTGGAGGGACCAATTGTGTTGCAGGCTATCAATACTGCAAAAGCTGGGCCCTGCTACACAAAGATAACAAACTCAACTCTAGATGGACAAAAATGTGAGAGGGCAGAAAGAGGTACCCAACAGGGAACACTACCTCCTAAGGTCACTTTGTGGAAACAGGACAGAACTAGAAAAAGAACTTTGAGTCTTTCAGGTTCCCTGATCCTCTAAGCAATGATCAACATTGTTCTTAGAGCTTTTTATCCAACCCCCTTTTCCTCTCCTAAGTACCTTACAAAGGGAAGATCACCTTTGCTTAATTCCTTTTATAAGCAGGAAAAGGTAGATAAGAGAAGGTGACCTGCAACATAAGGCAAAGAACTGGCTTACATATTGTTTTTTGACCAACGTTCAAAAATATCATTGACTTTCTGTTCCTTGAAAATCCACCCGCGCAATTGAAAACCACAGGCTATGCAGCAGCCACCACTTGTTGGCATTTAATTTAAGCATATTAGTAACTAGACTGATGCTGGTATTTATTGGTCAGGGAACACACAATTATTCAATTGGAAAAGTGGCAAAAAACCCCCTCTCCATGACACCTCAGTGTCTAAAAGAAAATACACCTGGTGGTTTTATTTAATCTGTTTCTTGACAATGGTATGTGCCAGAAACTGGATAATATGAGTGCCTGGCAAAGGGAAATCATCTTGATGCATCCTCTGAGTAAAATGACTGAGAGGCAGTGAGATGACTGAGGGCTTGATGCGTTCATTTACCTCTGCCATGGGGGGCGGCGGGTGTGGGGGTGAGTGAATATTTACATTCATTCCTTCCGACAAATCATTGACTTTTTACATGAAAGTTCATCCAAGATGCCTCTGTTACAATGAGGTGTATTAACACAGGCAAATAAAAGGCAGAGCAGACTCCAGCAAGGAGACATTTTGAAAACAAAGGTTTTAAATGTCAAAAGCCTTTTTAATTGTTGAACACTTAGCTGCAGATTTCGACATTATTACTCTGGGATGTCTCTCGATGAAAATGCCACTCATTGCCTTGATCTACAAGGAGGCCTGTTATGTGCTTGCTTTAAGGATTTGTACACCAGTTCCAGAAGCACATAATGGCAGCCTTATGATATTGTGGAAACAGACAAAAGGTGGTAAATTTCTTCCCTTATGTAATTAATTCAAACTACCAGATTTTTATCTCTGATACAACTAAGTAATTTAGGAGACTTTCATGGAACATGAGCAAAGGGGGGGGGGGAGAAGAATAACAATAGGAAAGAACAAGTGGGGACCCACAACAAAATACTGTGTCATGTGTTGTTGTTTGTTTTAAAAATGAAATTACAACTTAAAGCAAAGGATAATGCATGATGCAACATTTTGTTGCCCCTCTACCCCTTCTCTGATAATTTACCCCCCTTTCTCCCATTCCCTTTATTTTTCAACCTACCCCCATTTCACTCCTTTCTCCCATTCCCCTTATCTGTCAGTCTATCCCCATCTCTTTTGCCCCACCCACCTTTTCTCCATCAGTCTACCCAGCCCTTGCTGCTCTCCCCACCTACCACCCAACCCTGGTACTTCACTCACCCCGCTTTTCCAACTTCCCCCCACCCCCATTGGCATTCCACTCACCCTCTACTGTTGCTGCTCTCCCCACCTACCACCACCCTTGGCACTCCACTCCCCCCCCCGGCATTCACTCACCTCCACCCTTGTTCTCTTCCCACCAGCTCCCACCCTTGGTACTACATTACACCCCCCATGCACTTCTCATTGATCCCCCACACCCTTGCTGCTCTCCCCACCTGCCTTCCAGTAGGTTGTTTGGTGTGTGTGTGGAGGAAGTCACAGGAGGGGATGCTTGCAGGGGTTTCCTTCCCCCATCACTGCTAATTTTCCACATGGCTCAGTGGAGGGAGAGATTCGTGAGGGGAGAGACTTGCAGAGGGAAATCCTATATCCCCCCAAAGTGCAAACCCAGGTACAGCCAGCCTCCTGCTGTTGCTGCCAGGTGGGAGATGGCTGCTTGCATTCTCTGCCTCTAACAGCCAAGTGCAGTGTGACTGCTGGTGTCCTCTGTGGCTGCTGTGGCCAGGCCTGGGAACTGGCGGCACCTCCACTCCTCCCACCACTAGGCCGTTAGGGGTCATTGCTGCTGCCCCTGCTGCTGCTGCTGCCTCCGGCACTGGGTGGTGGTGGTGGAGTGAGGCAGAGCTGTGGGCAGGCCGGAGCCTGCCGAGTATATACGGGGAGAGGCTGACAGATGGGTGTGGACAGGTTAAGTGTGGGGAGCCGGAGGGGTCCTGAGGAGATTTCTTCTGGCTGGGGGGCAGCTGTGGCTTGGCTTCCTTTTGTCCCTCCTTCCCAGCTGGCCTGGGCTGCACCCTGCTGGATCCCTTCCAGCTTGTGCTCATTGCTCGGCCAGCCCCATGGCCCCCGTATTTCGTTAAGGTGGCAGAGGAGGCGGAAGAGGTAAGGAGCCAGAGGAGCCCACTGCCAAGAGTGGCAGAGAGCAAGAGACAGTTATTGGCACAGTGGCTTCCCTCGCTGCTCCAGTGGCTGTTCCAGCACCTCAATAAGTCCATTCTCTGCACATGTGCAGAGCAAGCTGTTTTACTTTTGGGGGGATTTAAATATCCTTTCTATAGTTTTTGAAAGATGTAAGATTTTTCTGCATGGCTGGAGAGTCTCCCAAGTGTGCAGAAAAGCCTCTTTACCCTGCATGTGCTCCTTATCTTTGGAAATAAGTATCCGCACTCAGGGGCACAGTTGGGAATTAGATATATAGATTTTCTGTAAATATTAGACCACAGTTGAAATTTATCTGAACAGTATGATAATAGGTAAGATCATCTGGAAGAAGATAGGATGCCATGTTTTATTATCTCCTTGTACTGAGCAGCTCATGTTTGGAGAACAATAAAACAAAACCAACCAGCTTCTTTTTTATCAACAGTATATTTACTTGTGTTTCTACTCTATAAAATTGAATTTTAGTAGCCATGCAAAAAGGAGAAGAGGAGATCTTGAAATCTGGCCGCAATGTCCACAGTAACCAGCGGGAAACATTGCACAGTACGAAAACAATGAAGGCTGAACTCAACAGTGAGTGAGGCAAACCCTTCGCAGCACAAACCTACCTGGCGATAAGAGATGGGAACAGGCATGCGGAAAATAATCCACTCCACAATCTCACTACATGGAGGAGTAGTCAGCGAACCTGCATACCGATAGTAACTGCCCAAGGATGCTGGAAGAAGATCTCTTAAGACAAAGGGATCCAAGAAGGTCTCTTTCTCTGTAAGAAAAGCAAAATAAACATCATGACTTCTACGAGTTGGGCAGCCTCCCAAGTCATGGTTCTGTCTTATCTTATTGTTTACAACCTTCATTGACATGCTGCGATTGTGTTTCCTGCTCAAGCCCAGATCGTTTGCTACTACCTACAACATAAGCTTGAGAACCAAGAGCAATGTACACTTTTAAGGTTCAACTTGGCAGCTACTGGGTTCATCACGATGTGATGCTTTTGAAAATTTTTTTCCAAGTCTCCTCAAGGGTTCCATGTTCTCTACCACGCTTATGTCTAATATCTGGATTGATGCTGGTATTTATCTGTAAGGCAATACTCAATTATTCCGTCTTAAAAATGGCAAAAGACCTTCTCAGCCTCAGTGATGAAAGGAAAATGTGTCGGTTGTTTATCCATCCCTTGACAACCGAAGGTAATGGAGGCTGGATATTATGAGGGCCTGAGAAATGCAGATCATCTTGGCGCATCCTTTGAGGCTGCTAGCTCATGGCTTGAAGCTTTCATCTACCTTTATCTCAAGGACTGGGATGTGTGCGCCCTGGAATATTCACACTCATTCCTTCAGAAATGTTAGTGACTTCTTACATAAAGTATATTAATGTGAGCTAATAACAGGCAGACTTCAGCAAGGAGACATTTTAATTGTATTTATTCATACACTTTATTTATATACCCTGCCTTTCTCCCCAGTGGAGACCCAAACAGGATTGAACTGTTCTCCATTTTCTCCTCACAACAACCCTGTGAGATAGGTTAGGCTGAGAGTGTGCGACTGGGCCAATGTTACGCAGTGAGCTTCCATCGCACAGCTGGGATTCAAACTTGGGACTCCCAATCCTAGTTCGACATTCTAACCACTACATCACACTTAGTTTTAAAAGTTTTTTAAATTCCTAGCTCCTTCATACTAGACATCCTTCCCTCCCACCCCTGTGAGGCTGGTCACTGTTAGTCCCATTTTACAGCACGAGACAACTCAGTGAATTTATGACGGGGCAAGGATTTTAAGTCAGATGAATTGGCACTTCAAATGCTTGATCTCACTGGCCCTGACTTCTGAAATGCTGGAGTTAATATTTAACCTCTCTCTAACACTTTCCGTCTACAACACATTATTCAACAGCCAGTTCACTCACAAGCACAATTAACACTGAGTGTATGATAAGAAATACCCAGATGCATTGGTTTTCAAGTCAGGTCTTCCAAATCCAGTCCATGAGCCTATACTGCCAATTAAATCATGTCCAACTGTACTGACAATTGAATTATTAAATTGGGGAAGGACTGTGGCTCAGTGGCAGAGCATCTGCTTTGTATGCTGAGGAAGGTCCCAGTTCAATTTCTGGCAACTCTGGTTAAAAGATCTGGCAGTAGGTGATGTGAAAGACCTCTGCCTGAAACCCCGAAAAGCCACTGCCAGTATGAGTGGAGAATACGGACTTCGATGGATCACGGGTCTGATTCAGTATAAGGCAGCTTCATGTGTTCATTAATTTATATCAGGAATCAGACCTAGGACAATATTTTCACAGTAAACATGTACCATTTGATTTTTCTCTTGTCCTTCCATCAATGAGTTTAGAGTGGCATCCATGATCCCCTACCCAACATTTTATCCTCACGACAACCTGTGAGGTGGGTTAGGCTACAAGAATAGCTGACCCAAATCACTCAGTGAGCTTCACGCCACAGTACAGGTTTGAACCCAGGTCTTCCTAGTCTATTAAGAACATAAGAACAGCCCAGCTAGATCAGACTAGTGGACCATCTAGTCCAGCACCCTGTCTCACACAGTGGCCAACCAATTACTCTGAAGGACCAACAACAGGGCATAGAGGCTAAGACATTCGCTGATGTTGCCTCCAATACAACACACTGGTTGACAAACGAGAGGCCCCCCTAAACTGCTTACTGAAAGTGCATGTACTTAAGACAATATATATATCATTTTCACAAAACTTGGTGCATGACAAACTACAATAGGAACTACTATGGCACTTATTCAGAAATTTTATTCTGAAACAATTGCAACAATATTTTTAAAAAACAAAAACAAATCTGTGAAAGGGTTTTTAAAAAGGCAATCAAGAGAGCAAACTTCTCTACAATGCATTTAGACTACCTTTTAGCAGTTCTGCCATCAAAACTGCAAACTTTCCTCAACAGTAAGAATTAAGCTTCCTTTTAAAATATTCTGTTTTATTTATTTACTTTGTTTATACCCCACCTTTTTCCACAATGGGGATCTAATGCAGCTTACATTGTTCTCTTCACCTCCAAGATCACCCAGGAAGCTTCCATGGCAGAATAAGGATCTCAACCTGGGTCTCCCAGACAGGGTTACCAAATCCCTTACTTGCTTTTAGCGGGGGGAGAAGCTCCTGCTCTGGGACTTTTCGCACATGCCATAATGACATCACCCGGAAGTGACGTCATCATGCTAGGCACTTCACCAGGAAAGCTCTAACACTCATCCTGAAAACTCTATACCATATAGTTTTCAGGACGAATTCTACAGCGTCCCCGTGGCGATGTGCCCAGTGCGATGACATCACGCCGGGCACGTCGGCCCAATCTGGGCCAGCGGGTCGGTGGCCCTTTGAGCAGGCGAACCCCCACCCCCGGGGTCCTGGCAGCCCTACTCCCAGATCCTAGTCTAACACTCTAACAACTACACCACATTCCCTCTCTTGTTCTAATAGGAGTAAGGGTATATCAAACTACATGAAATAAAGCATCTGTAAGACAGTAAGATATTAAAATCTCACACACATTGGTATTATATTCATTTTTATTTCCCAACTACCAGTTTCTTCAAACTTTAGGAAAGAATCTGATAAATGGTTTTAGCATGCCAGACAATATATAGAGCTTCATGAAGTTCATCACTCTGGTAATGTAAACACTAAAGTCAAGACAAGGCCTAATAACAAAATAAATAATATTGGGTTTACTTATGTGAAAAAACAACAACAGTACAACTTTAATTCATATTACATACTAAAACATTTCATTCGAACCAGATGTGTTTCAGCCTAACAGCCTTCCTCAGTGCTAGAGATAAAACAAAATCAACATAATAAAATATAGTCAATCACAATTGAAAATACATCAGTTCTGACCTAAGCATAAAAAAACACTTCACAAAAAAAGACAATTTGTTAATTAAATAAGTCCCTCTTCCTTTTTGGGATGCATCAGGACCATCAAAAGTAATTTTTAAATTGATTTACTCCTGGTCATAAGGTGTGTGTACTTAAGGTCAGAGTAACTTGTAATGTTATGGTATGTATGTGTCCACATGCAGGAAATGTTTTTCGTATGTAATATGAATTAAAGGTATGCTATTTTTCACATACGTAAACCTATTGTTATTTTTTTGTTATTAGGCTTTGTCTCAACCTTCTTGTTTACCTGGTTCTCCCGGGTTATAGTTTTTTCTCCCCTTTTTTCCCTTGGTAATGCAAACATTAAATTAAAAGGTTTGCCTTTTGGAATGAGCCCAGCACAAGTGCCATGGTCACTGGTTTTGTAACTATTTCTAAAGCACTGCACAACTTCCTCCTTTCAGAGCTGCCAAATAAAGTTATCACCTTTCTCAAAATGGATAAAAAGGGGTCACTGCACACAGGGAATCAGATAGCCAGACTGCAGACAACCTGTGTCGGTTAAATTCTTCTTCCAGCAGTGAGAAGACACCACAGAAGACGAGGCGGCAATTCAGAAGCACAGATGTTTAAAGCACTGTTTAGGTCTGACAAAACCATTTGAAGCACACCACTGTGGTCATGGTCCAGGTGTCAGCGCAAACATAAATTAGCACAGCTGAGAAGTAGCCATTTTGTTCCCTGGCATATCTGGTTTATGAGGTAAGAGTATTTTATGGCCTCTGGGAGAGGACACACTTCTTCAGATCTGCCAAGAAAGATGAAGGGAGCAATAAAAACTCGCCATGGTAACAATAGCCAAAGGAAGACAGATTCAAAATGGATTTGGCTTCCCAAATCTACACAAGAAGCAGGCTCGAACCTGTAGGAATGGTGTCAGAAAGGCTAAAGCACAGATGGAGATGGAGCTGAGGCTTGTGAGGGATGCGAGGGATGCTAAAAATAACAAGAAAGGTTTCTATGCCTATGTTCAGAGCAAAAAGAAGAACAGGGATGGGGTAAGCTCATTGCTAGGGGAAGACGGTCAAGCCTTAACAAGGGATGAAGACAAAGCGGAATTACTTAACTCTCACTTTGCGTCGGTCTTTAACCGTAAGGCAAGCTGTATACAAACTGAAGAATGCAGGGCATATGAAAGAAGGAGGAACTGCCAGTTCAGAGTAAGTAAGAAAATGGTTAGAAAGCATCTAGCTGCCTTAAATACTTTCAAGTCTCCAGAGCCGGATGGCTTGCATCCCAGGGTGCTAAAAGAAATTGCAGATGTTATTTCAGAGTCTCTGGCTCTAATCTTTGAGATTTCCTGGAGTACTGGTGTTGTCCCAGAAGACTGGAGAAGAGCGAATGTTATCCCGATCTTCAAGAAGGGAAAATAGATGGACCTGGGAAATTACAGGCCTGGCAGTTTGACATCAATACCTAGGAAAATTCTAGAGCAGATTATTAAACATTCTGTCTGTGAGCACCTTGAACGAAATGAGTTAATTGGTAGTAGCCAGCATAAGTTTATCAAGAATAAGTCATGCCAGACCAACCTTATCTCCTTTTTTGACAGAGTTACTAAAATGGTTGACTCTGGCAATGCTGTGGACATAGTGTATCTAGATTTCAGTGAAGCATTTGACAAAGTTTCTCATGATATCCTTGAGGATAAGCTGGTTAAGTGTGGGCTGGATGGTGCAACTGTTGGATGGATTCATGGTTGGTTGAAAAATCGTACCCAACGAGTGCTCGTAAATGGCTCTGTGTCTACATGGAGGAAAGTCTCGAGTGGAGTGCCACAGGGCTCGGTCCTAGGCCCAGTGTTGTTCAGTGTTTTTA